ATTATCATTATATTTTAATTTTGTCATATTTTTCTCCGTTAATAGCCCTGTTCCGGCGTGTGTTGACAGCGACTGTCATTGGAACACCGTGGAGTGGAGGTAAGTTCTACATTTGTTCTTTTTATTTTATTTAAAAGGTTTTATTTTTAAGTGACCGCAGCTGCTTTACGAACTCAACTTAACTTAAACTCCAGACCTAGAAGGACCAATAAAAGCTATAGCATATCCTGTTTAACACATCAAGGTTTCATACTATGATGCACGTGGGTAAGTCAAATTATGCCATTCGTTTTGCAGCTACCTATGTGTTGAAGATCTAGGTGCGTATCTACCAAATGTATATCAATCTACTTACTACCGCATAAGGTCTGTCGACTGTAGGTGCACAACATTAATTGTACTTAACTAGTAATAAAACAAACATTGTGGAAGAATAAAATAAAAATGTATTCTATTACGTAAAATAAAGGTAACATTTCTTGTAGTTTATAGTCCTTTTTTAGTTTTAATCAAATGTTGTAGCTTTGATTTGGTTACAATGACGCTTCTGTTTATTCCATTTCTTTCAAGAAATTCCTTTATGTCGTTCCCTGCTGGATAGGTACCTTTATTAATGTAGACACTGAACTCTTTTTTTAATAAATGAAGTTCCCGATTAGACCAATCTGGAAATTTAAATGTAGTAGTTAGCAAATTATGCTAATACTTACAGGTTCTCTGTCCACTTCTCTTTGGAACTTCAGCTACACTATCAGCGTCAATTAAATCTGAAAGCGATACCTATGTATATTTGGTTTCTTACTTCATAATCGAAAGTACCTGATGGTCTGTCCTGTACTATCCGAGATGTTTCTGGTGACGCATGGATCGGTAAATCTGAAAAAAAAATGTGTTTGGCTTAGTTTAATAGATATTTATGTATCAAGTACGCAAAATACCGTTTGAGCGAACAAATCGGTATTAAAGACGAGGCGACAGAGGAGCCGAGTCTATAATGAGATAAGTGCGCTAAAACGTTTTGCGTACGTGGTACATACAAAATTTTTTGGTAAAAGCTCTAAAAAAATAGTCTAAACTCTACCTATATGTTCTATCTGAAGTTATCACACTTTAAGTAGGCCGTTAAAGATTTATTTTGCGGACTCAAATGGATACGGAAAGTAACAATTTTGGAGAGCGTGTACCAAAAATTTATTTAGGTACCTACCTGATGGTATTTGCGGTACTGTCCGAGACCTTTCATTAGCTGCAACAGTTATATCTGAAAACGATATCAATTACATTTAAATTTCAATAAATGCTAGTTGGCAATGGTACCTGATGATAATTCCTCTTGGGGAGAGGAACCTAAAAGTATTAAATGTATAGATAAGTATTGTTTTAAATTAAGGGCCAGTTGTATAACGTCTGGTTGAACTTCCGGTTGAAATCAACCTGCGGTTGAACGTCAGTGATTGGATAAAATGTCAGCCATGATGAAAATAAGGCCCATGATTGACGTTCAACCGCAGGTTGATTTCCACCGGAGGTTCAAACTGACATTATACAACCGGCCATAAGAGAAATCCATTCCGCTACTACTGAAATAAAAATAACCAAAAAGCCGAAATATCCATCTATCAATACATTTATTCGCCAAATAAATTCCTTAGTTACGATTGTGCTAATGATGGCTTTATTGGTAGAATAGGTTATAGGTGATGGATATCTCGGCTCTTTAAAGAAATAGCATTTCTACTTACAGGGACTTCGATTTTCTCGATCATTCACATCTGAAAGTTCATAATATAGGTAAGTAAATGAAGGTTGTGGAAACAAAAAATAATACCATTAAATCCTGTATTTACAATCTCAATAGATCTTTCGTTTGCATAAAATCCTGGAGGCTCCTCACTTCTTTTATTTATTGTGCCTATAAATATTTTAATGTTTCACAGTAACTGAAATCTACCTAAATTTACCGTCAATTTTGTCTTCCTCCGCATATTCTAGGTTAAAATCTATAATTATCTCTTCCAACGACTTTCCTTTATATTCGATTGGCATAGATCCTTTCTCCATCATCATCAACAATTTTGACACCTTTGCAGTTTGGTAAATGTCAACCGGTAATCTAATACATTTAAAAAAGGTAAGTAGATGATATCTGATGTTTCAGTCGTTGCTTGTTACTTACTCATAAAACTCATCGTGAGTCTTTTGAGTATGCCCCATGAAATTTGCAAACTGTTTTGCCTCTTCTGGTTTTAAACTTAAAATTTGGGTTACAGTGGCAATCTGTTTCCGCAGGTTGTTACTTGAAATAGCTTTAGGGTTTTCAATTTGAATTTTTTTGCACAATGCCCGAATTGCCACATCACCTTTTCCCCATTTAATCGTACTGTCGGGCATGGCAAACACATAGTCATTGTTAGAGTCTAATATGTACTTGTTTCTCTCCGCTAATAAAACATTAATCATGTTTTGCAGTTCTTCAGGTATAAGTATGACAACAGCCCTCGAACCTTTACCGCTGTTGAGTACTCTCTTGTATTTTTGGGTCAATGATCTTTCCACATCCGTAAGTACATGGTCGAAATCTGTGTAGTTGCTCTTTTTATCTGATTTGTAGTCGCTGATCTTAAGATATTGAACGTCACCTATTCGGCGACGATTAAACAAAATTAGTAACGATAAGACACATTGTATTAATAATTTAAATGCGCGTTTATTCTCTTTTAAAAGTAGCTGGGATACGGAGTCATTTGCCAACTTAGTCACTTCGTCTCTAAACTTTTTCACGTCGCTCACCAATGGTAGTAATAGCGGCTTTTTCCAACGCTTTTCTTGAAGATCTTTATTAGCTAAAGACGAAATTTCTATGGTCCATCGCGATTCAACCAGTTTCTTAAAATTCTTAATATTCGTAAGCCAAACCTGGGCATCTTCCGCCGATTTACATCTGAAACCTTTACTTTGTTTTAATACCAGGTGTGTAAGTTCATCGCATGCTAATTTTAATGAGGTTCCTAGATGCATAGCCAAACTTGGAGTTTGAAATGACTTCTTTTCGTGGTCAAAACCACTAATCTTCCGAACTGCCATTAATACAGTATCGAAGTGTTTAGGATGCAATATATCTTTAAAATTAGCTTTATTATTATTGGTTATCATGCGAAAATTTAATAATATCCTTGAAAGTTCACGCATTCTATTACTGCATGAATAGGCCATTCTTTCACGCCTATGTTTTTTTAAATAAGACTCGCCAAAATTGGCTATTAAAAGATCCTTCTTCGCTTCAAAAGCAATGTCATCTGGTTTCATTATGTCAAACACCTAAAAAATCCTTGCTGTAGTCCAAATTCTAAGCTCTAGGAATTTCTTTTCAAGCCATAAATTGATAAATCTTAATATACATGTACAGGGTGTCTCTAAAAGGTCTGTACAAAGCGCTAGCATGGGTTCTTGGTATCAAAATAGGTCAATTTAACCCAACTTACCTCTATCCAAAAGTGCTTCGGTTAGGCGCTATCGACCGTCAAAGATCTTAAAAAAATCGTATTTTTTATGGTTTTACGGATGTGAATGTCTCATGTAAAAAGGGTCTTCATAATATCATTTTTTTAAATTGTAGCTGCTATGTAGATGGTAAAATACTGGCCATCCACATCTAAAGAGGTGTAAAACTTTTTAACGGTCATATTAACAGTTCTGAACTTTTACCCACAGTAAGACAGTTTAGTTTCAAGCATTTTTTGTCTCTTGATGAATTTCATTATCTGTGATGGTTTACGAAAAAAAAAAACTAAAATGATGCACGACATTTACAATAAGTATGAATGTTGCAATAGAAAATATCTGTGCAAGTTGGAAATAGAGGTAGGCTATGAACAATCGCATTGGTAGTGATCCCATTGCCATACATCATACCCCAGATCATACCTAAACTTATTTTTTTTTTTCGTAAACCATCACAGATAATGAAATTCATCAAGAGACAAAAAATGCTTGAAAATAAACTGTCTTCCTGTGGGTAAAAATTCAGAACGGTTAATTAAAAAGTTTTTTTATTTTACCATACCACCTACACAGCGGCTACAATTAAAAAAATGATATCATAAAGACCTTTTTACATTCACATCCCGAATTTTATTTTAATCCGTAAAATCATCTTCCGATAAAATAAAAAGTACGATTTTTTTTAAAGATCTTTGGTGGTCGATGGCGCCTTACCGAAGCACTTTTGGATAGACGTGAGTTGGGTCAAATCGGCCTATTTTTATAAAGAACCTATGGTAGCGTGTTGTACAGACCTTTTAGAGGCACCCTGTATAGTCTTCGCATACGAGCATTATATGAGCAAACTTATTTTTTATACGTAGATTGTAGATACATTGGCATCTTGTAATGCTTCTCCAAGATTCAAAGAATAATTTTACATATGAAGTTCTCAATTTTTTAGTTTCGATTTTAATAGGGATTTGGTTGAAATATATGGAACTAAAATATATTTCAACCAAATCCCTATCAAATGATAATACCAAAATCTGAAGTTCCTACGTAAAATTTGGTTTCTATGCATCAGAGTTTTGCCTATTCCCCGACCAAGTTGGTAAATAAGTAAATGATGGTTTTTCTTAAATCATCCAAAATTTGTATTTCAAAATTCTTTCTTGCTGCATTTGTGAGAATTTTATACCTAGAAAATTGAATGTTGTTGAGATTTCTAAGAGACACAGGCGAAAGGACGGATAAAATACTCGCACCACTGTTTCTTAATCTATGAAAAATATGGTAATAAAACTTCAAGGAAGAGTTCAGTAGAAGGGTAGAATCTATCAGATTTCAAACTCGGAATTTTGCGCTCTTCCGATTTTAGGTGACTAGTTCACACATTTCTTTAGTGAAATGGGCATTAACGATATGACACATTGTACATCTCTTAGATAGCTCAGCAACATTTAATTTTCTAGGTGTAACATCCTCACAAATGTCGTTCGCATATATTATTGTTTTATTTTGCAGTTACTAGTAACTTATGGCTTCAAGAGAAATGTTACATTTTCAAGGTAATTTACCTGCTCTTTGACATTTAACTTGGAGAGAACGTTTGTAGGGTCCATAGCGCATGCAGTCACTGTTTGTGATAAAGACAAAATTTTGCTTTGATTCTTTTCGGAATCTTTTAAAAAACACGACTTTACATGGCGTTTTAAGTATTGTCTTGCAAATATTCCCTTGCAGTACGCGCAAGGGTAGTACTTAATTTTAATTTTCGGTTCCTTTACCAATTTTCTATTAGGGCGAACATTTCCATTTATAAATAATTCAAAATTAGTATCGTTACGTAAAATTGCAAAAGCACGGCGTCTTTCTTTGCTGTTTTTTGGCAATTGAAATATGGTGTGGACTTCTTGTTCACTACCATGATTTCTTTTAACATGCCGCATAAAGTTCAACGTGTTAATGTCTTCCTGGCAAAACTTGCAATGTACCACCTTC